AGTAGTAGTAGTAGTAGTACCAGTATGTACTAGTAGTAGTACTAGTAGTTGCAGCAGTAGTAGTAGTAGTAGTAGCAGCAGCAGCAGCATGCGCAGTAGTAGTCGTCGTCGTGGTGGTGCTTCGTGGTCATAGTCGTGGTTGGTAGTGAGGTAGGTATGATGTCTGTGAGTGAACTAGTAATACTACTCGTCGCCTCCTGGTACCAGTACTAATACTAGCATTTCTACTACTTACGTTACAAGTGCGACGGCGACGACTACTGCTACCACTGCATTAACTGCGACTGTGACCACATTGGTTCTGCTTGCTGCTGGTGTTGCGATTACCATGTATGCTCTTTGCTGCTGTTGCGAGGACTACTGGCAAGTCGTTAATAGTTGTCATGATGGTGACACGATGGAACAATGAATATCGTGAGGTTGATGACAACTTTGAGCAAATTGGACCCTCCATCATCATCCTTACAGTCAGGGTGTACGGCTTTATGCTTAGAGTTTGCACGTGTCGCATTAACCATGACAAGACAATTGGGCTAGTTGCGAGCTAGTCGAGTGACTGAGTTGAAACTGCTTGCTGCAGAGCCTGCAACATCCATCCGCGGGTTTCTACTCTGCAAGCTTGATCTGCATCTTGGGTCGACTTACGAAAGTTGGGCTACAACAATGCTTGGAATGGGATCTCCGGCCATTCAGAAGCTGCGAAACTTTCATCCTGGCCTTTCCTCAACCCCCGTCTCTTGAACTTACAGCACCGACGAGACATTTTCCAGGCGCTCAAACTTCTTGCTGTATCCTGAAGAGGCAGTTCCGAAGTCCCTTGATGTTGGTTGAGTCGGTTTGTGATGTCTTGGCCATTGGGCAAGATTCCACACAATAAAATGTGTAACGTGTAAACGTCGGTTGGCCTCGAGAGACAGCCAAAAAGTTAACGGAACATGTAGATAAAAAGAAACGAGCATCGCAAACTGCACTACATAATTGGGCACTAAAACTCATTCTCGACAACGTCCTCTAGAGCCCAACCAAACAACCAAGCATCCCCGGTGAGAGGATGGCAGCGGAGGCCACCAGATCTGGCTCCAAAACTTTTAGATCGTGTCCTGGTGTCAGGGAGAGAGGCAGCTAACAGTTGTCATGTTTGACAAACCCCTTGCTGGGGCCCCATGCTTCTAAGGGCGGTCTTCGTTTACGTGCTGCTTGTCCGGCGGAATGTGTCGTCTGGTTGTCAGTTTCCTTGGTATACTGGTGCTCCGGTGTCTTGGCCTTCCCGTGTCTCAGTGCCTCAGAGTGTCAGGTGATCCTTTCTCCTTTAGTCCAGGTGTCCAGGCTTTCCGGGTGTCGTGGTGTCCAGGCTTTCCCGCTCTTCCGGTGTTCTGGCGTCTCAGTGTGCTGATGTACCTGCTGCCTGCTATGTGGTTTCATCTCCATGTCCGTGTTGCGTCGGTGTGCGTGCCGTGCCTCGGAGTTCAGCTCTCGGTATTTGATGATGTCGTGTCTGAGATGAGGCACCTGCTTGTTTGCCAGTTGGTGCACGTGGGTTTCTAGGCGTTGCTCCGCATGTCTGGAGGGGAAAGCACTCAAAGATTTCACGTTTATCCTGTCAAGCGAGACAGCTGTTCTTGAGCTCGGAATTCGAGCATTCAAGGCTTTTTGGGGATTGCATAGCTCTCATTGTGGAAACAGTTCCGGTGTTATAGGGGCCAGCTTGTTGATACTGCTGTCACCACCAGTTGCTACCATGCCTCTCCTCGTTGGCAGCACTTACATTGCTATTACTACTCCACTTGTTGTTGATTGAAGGCCGATGCATGCTTCGGCAGAAGATGAAAGCGAGGATCAAACACTCCTTCCTGGATCCACTGAGACTCCCGACAAAAGATGTTGAACCTACAAGCCCTGAAACTTAAACCCTGAACCTGCGGCATAGACAACTAGGCTCCAAACTCCGAACCTTCTACCGGCGCCATGAAACTTAGCCCGAGCCCAGGAAAAACTCACACCGTGGAATTCCATGGGTTCTGCAGAGTTGGTGCTGCTAGCTGCGAGGTTTCTTGGCGCTTCAGACTGTGAACCGACCTATTCGTAGGGTTGTAAGGCGCGGCTCTCACCAAAGTGCCTAAGAGGAAGCCGCAAAGTCTCATCGAGAACCTGCAGCCTTGACACCCGTCGAACCTCTTCAGGCAAGCCTCTGGACAGCATGCGCATGTTCTCCTTCTGCAAGCAGCCAATACTGCGTGCGTGCTCTGCCACAGTCTTTAGGCGCTCTTCCTGCCTCGCCGGAAGTCTGAGGAGATGGTTCTCCAGTTCTCCCAGTGACTGTGTGTTTCAAGAATCCAGTGGTAGTTTTTTCTGTAGTGCAGCGACCCATGCATCGTCATGCCTACACTTCGACCACTCTTTTTCATCGAGCCGGAGCCCAAGCTGTCGAACTCCTCTATCGTCGAAATTCCTGTTCACACCTGTCCGCCCACGCAAAAGCCTTTCATAACCGTTAAGCACCTGCGTGGAACTCACAAAAAACAGGGTCACCTTGGGATAACCCCGGAACCATGGAACCCAACAACTCGACCAGCCAAGAATCAATCAGAGAACCATCTGACGTACCGTTTCAGCTGACCTGCCCTCCCGACATAGCTCGCAAGGAGGCGGAAGAGGGGATGGGAGAGGAGGTATGAGGATGGCCGAATGCGGGTGCAGAATGTACACCAGTGCGAGATACAGATTCGGGAGGGGAGAGCCGCAAGGACCCCGTGTGAGATTCGGGTGTGAGTGGGAGAGGGGGCGCGAACCTAGATCTTAAAGAGAATCCAAGACCGAAGGCGTTGGACGAAGCCTCTGACTGCAAAACATAAGCCTGCGATCATCGCAATCACAACACGCAAAGTCCCATCCTAAACCCTAAGCAAACTGCTTCAGGTGACCCTTCTGCGGCCACCACCAACTTTTGGCAGTTCCTTTCGTGGCAGTGTCTGGGGCTTCGATTTCTTCACCAGCATGCGTATGATGTATTTACATGCCGTAATGGTTGCTCAATAAGGTTTCAAGAGAGCTGAGAGCTAGTTTACTGTCTACATCCCGATTTACCTGTCATTCAGTCGTCCCTTCTATCGGTCTATCTGTACATCTGCCTACCTGTCCACCTATCGGGTCGATACGTTTGTTTCCCGATTGGTCAATTCACTCTATCTATTTGTCCATCCATCTATCTATGCATCTTGTGACCACGTGTGCGAAATTTCGTGCATCACCCATCAGACTTCTGTAGTTTGTCATGTGCAGTACTGGAGATCCGTTTCGGCAAGGCTGTCGCGTTCGAGCTTGGATTGGGGTCTGAGAGTGTACAGTTGAGGGTTTAGGGTTGGCATGCACTCGAGATTCCGAGTTCGTGGGTTGGGCTTCCGAGGAACTTCACTCGAGGTGTGACGGGCTGGTCAGCTACGACCAGAAACCCAAACCCCAAAGCCACAGCGCTGCAGCAGCCACAGCCGTAAACAGGTTCGAGAGGCTTGTAGCGGTGACCTACAGCATGAAGCGTTAATGGCATTGAGGCTGCAAAGACAGATATAACATTTTCCAAACAAGCCAACCAGAACACAGTGAATCCAACACTGAACGAATCGAGGCATGACACAGGTGGCAGTAGTAGCACTAGCAGTAGTAGCAGTAGGAGTAGCAGTAGTAGTAGTAGTAGTAGTAGTAGTAGTAGTAGCAGCAGTAGTAGTAGTAGTAGTAGTAGCAGTAGTAGTAGTAGTAGTAGCAGCAGCAGCAGTAGTAGGAGCAGTA